TAATAGGCCTGATGGTATATTTAAATTTAAATGTTCGTTTTTTATTTGAATTTATAATTCCGATTTTCAATACAATTAACAATTTTGAATTGAAAATTCCTTATCAAATGTACATACCAGTAACATGAATAATAAAGAATAAATATTTAAAAACTTATCATAGGATTTACGTTATGTATCATACTATATCATCTTAGGAAAACGGGAATTTTTAAGGATGTATACCACATGGACTCAATTGGCAGATTATCCTATCGGTAATCGGAAGGTATTGGGCTCGAATCCTACTGTATGGGCCACGTACGTTTCTATCTATTATTATCTATAATGTAATCATGCAATATAAAGAATAGTATCCCTCATCTCCTACGGTTGAACCCGCAACCGAACTTGAAAATAAATGTGTTATTATTTTACATATTCATGTTACTATAGCCTAATTAAACAATAATTAATAACTGAAATGTGTGCCCAGCACAACCAATTAGGCCTAAACATCAGTTTAATAAGGTGGTCATAACGCTTATTGCCGAAAGGGAGTAGGCCTATGGAAATAAAAACATGTACGATAAGCTGTTTATATAAGAACGGATAATAAATGTAGGTCGTATCTGCCCATGAAGTTTAATAACTGCATGGGCTCTGCCCACAGTCTATGTATGTACCTGCCATCGTCGAAAAAGACCGCTCATTAATAGCTAACATAGTTTCTGCAGACGTCACTGCACACTGCCTCTGGAATTTTGGCACGCTTGTCTCTTCTATTTCTACACTTTAAAGAGTCTCCGTATAGTGACTGGCCTACGTTCTTTCTGCACAGAATCCTGCTATAGTTGTTCAAGATCGGAGGACAGTGGTATAGTACCAGACTAAAAGCGTAGGTTCGATTCCAACTCAAATAACTGACGATTAATTTATGCCCGTAAGTGTGCATCTGTAACATTTATGTACCGGTACCTGTCTGGTTATTCGGTTTGGAGAGCTATTGCAAGCAATACGGTTATGAGTATCAGACATTTTCGTATCAATGTGATTGTGATACTGTAGTACATACCAGGGGCGGATTTAGGGGGGGGGGGGGGGGGGGGGGGCCCCCCCCCCCCCCCCCCTTTTTGGGAGGTTAAAAAAAAAAAAAAGAGAGAAAAATAAAAAATGATAGCCTAGAATGCCTCAAATGTTATGTTCGGGCGTCTAGAACACAAAAATTTCGCGGGGGCATGCCCCGGACCCCCTACGACAGTGTTGTCTCAATCGGCCTAACTTTCGGCCCCCCCCCCACCTTTTTGGATATTTCTGGATCCGCCCCTGCATACAGTAAATATTTGAAATTAATATTTTTTTTAAATACCCATCGTCTGCATATAATGAATTCAGTGAATGCGTTTGTGGACAACCATCGGTATTATATAATCAAATCGTGACACATTCATACAAACCAGTACCGATTTTGCGTTTTTTTTTTTCTTTTATTTGCATTGTTAAGTGCCAAGTTGAAGTCAAACACAGGGTAGAAAATACTGTCACCTGCCAAACAATCGACAGTAAACTTTAAAAAAAAAATTGAATTGCACATAAGTTATCAACTTTCAGTAAGTCACAAATTAAAAAATAATTAAATATTCAGTGATTTACAGACATTTTACTACGAAAATACTTCAATTTCTGATCCAGTGGTGGCCCAGAAATCTGCAAACAGTGGGGCCACAAAGGGAGGTCTGAACCAAGGGGCCGGCTACAGCATTGTTCAAAGTCCCAGGATCAACTTTCTGCTGGGGTACGGTTCATGGAGGATTTTATGGTTTATGATGGCCCAAGACTGTGTTTATAGGATAAATATAAAGTAGGGATTGGCAATAACAATAACTTTACAGTTCGCATTCCAATTCGAGACCACCTTTGGACGTGACAATTTCAGGTGGTCTCGGAGTTCGGTCTCCTTTTAGAGGGTTAGAAGTTAAAAGATTGACGATTGTTATTTGGTTCTTTGAACAAGTGATCTCGAATAACTGGGATCTCGGAATTAGAGGATTTGGAATTGGAGGGCGCACTGTACTTTGATCAGCATATTTTTAGTCTGATAACCTCATTTTACGATTGGACGATGGGAATCCATGCTTCTCCATCTGAGATCCAAGCTTGTCTGACGTGGGGAGGAGAATTTTCCCCTCACACCCAACGGGCACCGCCACTATTGCTATCAGAAATTGAAAGCCATATGAAACATGGTGGAGTGTGCAGTATCTATTTGGGCTTGTGCCTATTGTCACTCCAGGCTAAAATTGTTCTTGACAATTGCCAAATAAATATTAGTATTATTATTATTTATAATGTAAAACTAGCAAGGAACATTTCTCTTGTCATTTTCAAGCAAGTTGAAAGTTAATAACATATTGAAGACAAGCATTTCAATTTTTACAGTACTGTATATTTGATTTTACGTTGCAGTATGTAATAGTACAGTATTAATATTTACATGCTTGCTAAAATGCCCTATAAACAAATCTCATAGTTTCTAGAGTACATAACAACAAAAAAACTATTGTCTACACACCAAATCTAATAATGAATAAATCTTAATGGCAAAAAAGCTCAGAAACATTATAATAATTATTTGAAATTAAATTGAAATCTTCATTTTTTCACTAAACATACGTCATTTTGAAAGTCTGTGTATTCTTGCTATGTGCAATTTATTATTTTTTACAACTTTCTAATTGCATTGTTTTACATTTATATATATCTTCTGAAATACCATTTAATAATATTTTGATAAAAACATATTGTCGTTATCAGAATTTGAACCCAACATCTTTGCCCTTTTTTTTGGTTTGTCTACCATTTTTTAATAAAATTTATATAGCGCACATAATAACTTCTGAAAGAAACTGCTTAATGTGCATTTTTTGCCTGGTCCTTGGATACAGAATTAATTGTATACATAACATATGCATGCGACAGTATATTTTTAAAGCCCTGTTCAGACTATCGCATTTTATTTGACAAAAACATGTGATATGCCTATATATGGTCATGATGACATCACATCATGACCATATATAGGCACATCATGACTAAATAATATGGGCATACAACTTTTTTTTTTGTCAAAGAAAATTTACAAAATCAAAATTACACTTAAAAAAGTATTCATTCTGAAAACCCCGTCTTTTTTTTAAGTTATTCAGAATGAAAGGCCTGTTTACACAGAACACGACAGCGGAACACAACAGCAGCAAATATAATAGAACTTATTATATTCTTTATGGCGGGCAAAACTGAAAGCGACGCAACTATAAGACAAAGCGAAGCATGTGACTTCTCTCAGAAAAAAAGAATGTCTGATATACTGTACCGACAAATCAGTGCCTCTGCTCATCTTTCAATAAACATGCAGACCGCAAAACATTTGCACAGAACATGACAGCATCATATGATAACAGCAGAAATAACAGAACCCATTATATATAATATGGTGGTCCACATAATGAAAGTGATGTAACTAGGTAACAAAACAAAGCAAGCGACATGCTGCTCAGAAAAGTATAATGTACGTCAATTTGAAAATGAGTGAGTCTGGTCATCTGTCACTAACAGTGACAGATCCATGAGGTCAAAAAATCACTAACAAAGCATGAAATCATTTAAATATTAAAGATTCAAAAGGCTAAGACTCCAAGGACATAATACTGTAGGGAACACCCCCACTACCTTCCTTTCCCAACCATAGGTTTTGCCTCCACTCGCGCCACCTCAGCAAAATAATTTTTATTTTAGATCCACTGCTGACTAAGCATGCAGACTGCAGAACAATTGCATGCATGACGACCGTTGTTGCACGCTGTGTAAATGGATTGCACTGGGCAACAAATAGTTTTGTTGCATGCATGCTCTGTGTAAACAGGCCTCAACTCTAATGGTTTTGCAGAATGTGGCACTATCTTGGCACATGTCAATATGCATTCACTATTGCAGTTGTTCCTCTAGACCTTAATTTCTACAACTCAAGTCTGAAACAAAAGAGAGAAATATAAAAATTGATATAAACAGGCACATAAACATGTCACATGTAAATTTAATACAGTAATAAATAATACTAATATCCATTTTTAATATTTATATTGTAACCTGTTTATGACTGACCAATAAAATTGAATGAATTGAAAGTGAATTGAATTAATAAACGACATGTTTTGACAAGTCACATCATCGTCAGGCAATAGTGATTAAGCTACTACCGGTTTATATACTACCTATCAGATTACGACAAACAAGCAAATACTAGGACAAGTCAAGTATATTAAAGGGGCCATAAAATACACATGTAACACAAACGTACATGTGTGCGTATGCTTTTACACTGTCACTGTGTGGGACCTTTAAGCAACATACTGTATCAAAGGAGTGCTGCTAAGCAGGAAGTTGCATTATTTTCAAGTTTTGTGAGTGTTGGAGAAGATTTTATTTCCTGAAAAATATTGCTTGAAGGCCTGCAGAACCTGAAGGGAATTTTTGAAAGAAATAGGGGTTCTTAGGCTTCTAGATTTCACAGAATGCAGCATCCTCCACTCCATGGAAAGAATACCAAGTGATGCTATACTACACACAGACCAATGTACTTATGTTCTGGAATAACAATATTATAACCAACTTACTTTGCTGCTACAGCCACTTTGCAATAACGACATTAAGTGATCTTCAAGCACCTTTAACACTACAAAAATACAATTAATATTTAGTAAGTTTTCAGGCAACTAGTGGAATTGGTCAATTGGAAGGGTAACAAAAATCCAAGCTTCAAAGCCATCTCTGACCTGTGATAGCATATTTTGCTGTGTAGCTAATTTCTCACTGGCCAAAATAATGTATTTCATTGCACTGTATTGTTTTGGTAGAATCGAGTCTTCTTGGAGAAGGACTTAAAATGGCGGTCCAGTGTATACATCTAGCTCGAGTGCACTTTAAAGAACCCATTGCATCTTTCGGAAGAGTGGGGAGTTACCCCGATGGTATGGTTCGTTTGAGCCCCTGTTGTTGTGGAATGATATGAATATGTAGCAATTATAAGCACCTCTTTATGGCTGCTAGGTAGTACAGTACTTCAAAAGTGCACACGAGCCAGATGTGTACACTGGACCTCAATTTTAAGTGCTTATCGGAGAAGAGTTGGATCTACCAACCGAACCCTGGACGAGGAGCGGCTGGAACCCGCGCCAATGTTAAGGCTGTAGTTAGCAGCACCCCTGTCAACTTGCCCATTGTAGGTTTCCTCTGATGTTTGGGGATAGTTCCACACAAAATAAAATTGTCATTGCTGAAAATGGCAGTTGTCTTCTCAGCCTTATCATTTAGATTTGAAGTTTGGTAAAATGGATTGATGAATTTCAAAAAGGCCTGTGCAGCACCTTTTTCCACTACTGGACCATAATTGGTCCAGTGAATCTGTGACACAATTGTACTAGTGAACCTAAAACTAATTGCAACAGAAATAATTTTTATGGAATTTGTTCCTGAAATAATATTATAACATACTAAGTCAGAAAAAATCCAATCAGGGGAACAGTGATATATTATGATATCTAATGTGTTAACATCCAAAGGATTATGTGTCACACCGCCAAACTCCTGTGTATATGAAAGCCTGTTGTCACTAACGAAGAATATGGGAGTCCGCACACAAACGCAGTTGAATCAAACCAGACAAAAGTTGAATTCAACATAACAAAATGATCAATGCACATGGCTGCTGTCCGATCGGAAGTTATTTTTTTCAAACAGGCAGTTTGTTATATTAGTGGCCTAATTATTATATAATTGGAATTTTTGTTAGTTGATTTGCATTATTCAACATTCAATATAGCAATAGAACATTTTTTTTTAAAGATATAACAAAACCACTTAGGGAATATCATTCCATCAAAAACATGTTCGGTATAATAACAGTAGCAAATATTAGAACAAAATTAAGTGTCCAAATTATTAACATTTCCAATCGCTCATTTAAAAAAGCACCCCAATGAAAGGTTTTTTTAATTTTTTTTTTTATTTATCTTCAAAAGACATGACAAACATTTCACAGCAAAAAAAGTACATTACAATATTAAAGTGTTTTTAACATTAAATAAAGGCAGAAAAAAATTAAAACATGAGTCATTCCTTAAAATTCCAATGAAAGTACTTGTGGCTGTGTTTAGTTACATGCACTGCTTTTATACCGCTTTATACTCAGTTTTAATACTACTTTTTACGGATGATTCGTGTCAGGCCGTAAAAAACAAGGTCTTTTAATTGATTGTTGAGGGCCACAAAAAATTCACTGTCAGGCCGCATGCGGCCCGCAAGCCATACTTTGCCCACCTGTGTAGTAATAAAATGCATTTTGTATAATTTGATCAGACCCAGGTAGTGGGTGCAAGTAAGTCAATATTTCACAGATAGCCGAGTGAAGGCTTATGGTATAAATTGGCTGGTAGAGGGTTGACTTGTAATAGTTGATAATTACATTTGAAGTTTGCAAATATGGAGCTCAAACTTACAGAACATAACCAACCAACACAAATGGCAACATGATACAAGACAATAGACTCCAAGTACTTGCTATTTTATGGAGGCTAAATAAATAATTATGAAACTTTCAAATCAAACAGTATTACTCACCCCTGGGATTTCCCAATGTTACTGCTAGGCTGTATGGAGTGACGCCTGATTCGTTTTCTTGGATCATGTCTGCCCCATAAAAAAGCAACACATCAGCACACTCTGCATGGTCCCCATGAACTGCATACATAAGAGGCGTGCCACCATTCTACAAAACAACAATAATAAACCGAAAAATGTTACATTAGCCCAAAATTTTCTAAAAATATGCAAATTTTTATTCTGCCACAAGACTGTACTGGTACGGGCATTCATAATGCGCCTCTTCCTTGCAGTTATAAAGCGCAGTTCCTTTCCCTGGTCATTGGGTCCACACATTAAGTGTTGCTGCTGGTAATCAATGCATGAGAAGGCAACCCCCCACCAGGTACCCATTTATAATCCTGGGTGGAGAGAAGCAATGCAGATAAAGTGTTTTGCTCGGATTGAAAACCCCGACCTTGAGGTTGGGAAACCAAACTGTTCCTCTGCGCTAAACCACTTCTACAATACTGTAATGTAAGATGGTGAACGGTTTTAATTTATAGTGAAAAATATGAAAATTCTATGTTTTGTAACACAGTGTAGAGATGAATATGATTTTGTATCATGAATAAAGACACTATGGCAACAAATAATTGAACTTACCCAATCATAAGCGTTAACATCTGCTCCAGACTTACATAAAGTGTTAACAATATCAAAGCTACCAGCATTAACCGCAAATGATAGAGCCGTTTCACCATCCTGACCATACATTCTTTCATCGGCCCCAGCCTGAAGTAGAACGTTCACCACATCTCGCTGATCATTTGCACAGGCCCACATGAGAGCTGTGTATTTCATATCATCCTGTTCATCAACATCGGTTCCTTGCATCAGCCTCTCCACAAGCATCACACGATCTCCCTGCGCTGCCAGTTGGTGAATTGTTAGGTCAGCTGTAACAGAGATATTGTAGCATGTAAGGAGATACTTCAATTGAAATACTCAGTCATAATAACTTGCTTCACAATTCAGATTTTGTTCATACACTCTGATGTCAAATTAATCGATCGATCGATCCAGCTTTATCAGAGGCAGATCCAGGAATTCAAAATAGAGGAGGAAGAACTTTACAGAGGGGGAACTTTACTCTATCTATCCAACATTTTTGGGGATGAGGCACACAATTTTGTGACTATGGTACCGAAAAATTGCACTCTGAAATAGTGGATAGTTTTTTACCATAAAATGACTGTACGTGTTACGTCCTACCTTGTAATCCCGGCCCCAAAACCTTGACTCAGAAATACTGGATTGGTGTCTGGTGGGGGACACTTTTTTACCATTTTGTAGTTAAGGATGCAGTAAGCCTAACCTTGAAGTTCCTGGCCCCGAAACCTAGACGTAGAAATACTAAGTTGGTTTCGTGCGGGGGATAGTTTTCCACCAAAGTTTTACAATTTGCATTTTACACTGTATTGTTTTGGTTGCCTTCTTGTTTGTTGTTTATTGTACTGTATTATTGCAGGACCATATCAATTACAAAAAACAGCATTAAGATCTCATCTGTATATGTTATCTTGCCTAAATATGTTTTAAATAAATAAATAAATTTGTCTTTTAACACGATTTTTTTTTAATTTACAAAATTTACGGGGGCTTGGCCAGATGGGCCTCTTTGAATCTGCCTCTATTCATGATTACTGTATTATTATCAATTATTTATGTGCACTCATGGAGCTACAACCCTCGCTAATTATACAAAGGGTCCCAAGTTGGAAGAAGTCATTTCTGGGAGATCTACAGTGGCTGATCCAGGAATTCAAAATGAGGGGGGGGGGGACAGGTACAGGGAGGGACTTTCACAGTAGTAGAGTAGGCTCACCACCTCAGCCCCACTATGGTTGTGGCTGAGGTAAGAACATTTATGATTATGGCACCTCTAGATGGCCCCTCAGACATAAATTTTTGAATACAATCTTCTTTTTCCCCACTTTTTTGTTATAATTTGGAAAATATAGTGGCCCCAGCCAGCTGTTCCCCTCCCTCAGAATTCTCCACTGATCTGCATGGTTATTGATTATTGGTTATTATTGCTTATTGATTATTGGTTATTGATTTTCACATTCAATTTATTACTGCACATAGTGATACCCATCGGCACTGACTTCCACGAGACAATTGATAATAAAATTTTGAAAACATGCCAATATTATGAATTTGCAGGAGATGGGTTATTTCCGGGAGATTCTTGCTTGCTTACCGGAGTGCAGAAGGTCGTCCTGATTTCCGGGGGAATCCTGCGAGATCCGGGAGACTTGGGACCTCTGCTTATACACACTCATACTTTTACTGGTTACTGATGCTAATTTATTTGTTATTTAAGGGGAGCTTGCTGGTAAAATCAGGAGATATGATGTGCATATTAACTACTTGATTGTAATTTATTTTACTCAGCACAGGCATATCTCTGGAGGGGCAGTTTGCTACCCCAAAGTTGATGAGGTATCATACTTACCGCCAGATATAGAAGGTGTTTCTGTCTGCCTGTTTCCACGCTTTGTGTTGGTAAAAGTGACCGATAGCTGTGAATAAGAAAGAATAAGGCAAGTTTAGCTAATTGAATTACACTGAGTTTCTTCAATACACAACAGGTTAACCTACGAAAGTCTAAATTTCCAGTGTGGTAATTCTGGTCGTGAATTGCATAGTATTAATACACTTGGAAACAATTCCCTGCTACTACTTTTTAACGTGCAGATGTGTTTTTTCTTTTTGCAGAAGCTATACCAAAAACATAATTGATACTTTACTTACCCTTAGTGGAGAGTAGCTTGAAGATTTGCCAGATGAAGATGATCGACTAATGCAGTGACGTTTCAAAAGTGGTAGCGTTTCTCGAGTTTCTGTGAAATTTAAAACAACATACAGTAAATTACTATTACAGCACTAATACTATCACTTTTATTATTACTAATATTATCACCCTATTATTGCTACTTTGATTATTGTTATTATTAATGATAATCATTATCATTATTTAGGGTATTATCATCATCATTACTACCTGGAAACAAAATAGACTGCACTTCATAGTTGTCTTGCTCATGATAATGATCTTTCTCTTGAATTGACTTCACCACACTGGAACAGAGCTTCATATCTGGCTTTGAGCCATCGACTTTATGTTTAGATGACCTGTCTGCTACAGCCTCAAACGAATCGGCCTCTGTGCTGCTGTGTCCAGCTAGACTTCCTGTCATGTGACAGCCAATGTCTAATGCAGACAGATTTGTGAGGCTCTCGCTCTTCTTTAGTCTCTTCTGGTCATGACTGTAGTCAATCAAAAGCTCTTCATCCAGGTATTCAGTCATGATCTGAAAAAAAAAAAAAAAAATGCATACTGACTGAGATTATATCAATTACAAATAATTTTCAATCAGGGGTGGTTCCAGATTATCACTAAAAATCTATATTGATTAATATAATAAGCAAGCATGTACTCTTGCTTGTATTCAATTCAATTGAAAGTGACATTTATTTAATTCCTTTTCAATTCATACAAAAATATAAAACAAGATCATAACAATTTCATGAAAAAAGGAAATAAGGCAACGACCCAGGAAGAAAATCATCTTGTAACGAGTCAGCCTGAAACAAAAAGACAAAAGGGAGACACGAAAAAACGAACAGAAAAGAAAAAGGACATGGACGAAACCGGACAAAGAAGACACGCACACAAAAAGAAAGCAACAGTTTAAATTGGACCAGGACACTAAACATTTTTTTGAAGAAAAAGAAAGATAATAAGGGAGTTGACAATATTATTAACTAGAAATAATGTGTTTCTTGAGCTGGATAGAAAATTACTTTTTATTAATGGAATCGACAACTAGGGGCATTAGAGAATTCCATAATTTAGGGCCAGTAAATCTAATATTATGTTGAAAATAGTTAGTCTTATGATTGGGAATGTATACATCATATCTACCTCGAGTACAGTAATTGTGTAGAGAGGAATTAAATTAATAATATTTGAGAAATGTTTGCATATCTGTGGGCCATCGTACAGGGGTAGATTTGGGGGGTTGGGTGGGCTCGTCGGCCCTTCCCCCTCCCCACTCCACTTTTTTTCTTTTTTCTTTTTGCTCCTCTTGCTTAAACATGAAAACTGATTGAATCTGATTGTTATATTTTTCCTCAAAATTCACTCTAATTTTTTTTCTTGTGGTAGGATGAGATAGTCAGATGCAACTTTCACTCGAGCTCAAGTGAGTTCTGTTCCAGCGAGCTCTCAATTATGGGAGCTTTTCAACGTGCTGGAGAAGAACGGAGCGATGAAAAGGGTTCCTCTGCGTTTATTTTCTTTGTTGGTTACTTTTAGGAATTTTTATGGCGTCATTCCATTTTTCAAGTTCTTCAAGTGGAAAGCACCTAGGCCTAGAAGCATTGTTCTGCATTAAACGCTCTATAAGATTTGTGGTGTTATCACGATCCGCCCCACTTTTGGACATCTCTGGATATGCCCCTGTCGTATGTCTCCGCTTGATTCCATGTGGTGTTTATTATTTAGGCCTCTACAGTAGGAGTAGCCCTGATCTAGGCCTGAGGCAAGGTTTTCAAGCTTAAAATAGCTAGCCTACACTACTAAGTACTAGCAGTATCAGTAGTTAGTAATAGTTGGGCGGCTTCTCTAGTCTAGGGCCCTAGCCTCTATCTAGGCCTAGGCCCTAGCTCTGTTTTCTTGTTGTTGGTGTTGTGATGGATTGTAGAACAAGGATATGTAAAATACACACAAGATAATGTAAAATACCTGTGAAATTAAGCTACTAAAATTCTAATAATATACAGGAATTTATTTATTCGATAATAATCTAAGAAATATGCATAAAAACTCTAAAATGTTGACGAATCAATCAGACAAAACTCACCAAACTGAAAACGCCAAATTGGTGCGATTCTTGTCTGTTTACTCAACCATATCATGTTTATATTTTTAGAGAGGGCGCAATGTGATCTCTTTTCTTTTTTTTTTCTCTTTCCAGTCTCTTTTGATTGTAATGAGTGTAGTGAGGCTTCTTCACACAGCCTCAGCCGGCGAGGATACAGTACAGTATCTTTAACATTTTAATTCAATTCTTTCTTTCTTTATTTGTTTCACTTGATGAAACAATACGGATAAACAATTCAATAAGTACAAAGGTAAGTAAAAGAAAAACAATATCAAGTGAAGCAGCCTAAAAAGAAAGCAGAGCTTGTAAGTATGCTCCTACTGTAAATAAATAAATAAATAAATAAATAAATAAAATAAATTTTAACAAGTTAGTAACAATAATAGTTGTTCTCTTAAATAAGTATTCATTATATTTTTTAAGTATATCAACAATTGCTACGGTACGCTTTCAGAAAGCTGACATCTTCTTTGCTCAAGAGACACATTTTACCAAGGAATTCATCGAGGATTTGAATTGGAAAGGAACCTGTCTTCATAGTTTTAGAACATCAAAAAGCAGAGGTGTATTCATATTTTTAAGTGAAACTTTTAGAGGTAAAATTATTAATGTTCAAAATGACAATTTAGGTAGGAAATTGCTAATTAATATTGAACTGAATAATAACATATTCGCTTTGGTTAATGTATATGTGCCGAACATAACATCTGAAACATCAGTTTTCTTTCAGAATTTATGTAACTGGATACAGCAAAATAGGCTAAATAATAATCTTATTATTGGAGGCGACTTTAATTGTGTTTTTTCTAATAACTTAGTCCAAGATGCTCAAGACATGATATTTCAATCAACGAGCTAATTAATAAGCTATGTAGAAACTACATGTTAAAGATATGGCGTAGTACATTCCCCGATACACTTACGTGGCGGAGAATGAACCATCCCATTTCCAGTATAATAGACTTCTGGTTAGTTAGTACAATAATTGTGGATACTAAAAAAATTCGTAAAAGGATATACGCCCATCGATATTTTCACCAAGCTATTTTTCTTGAAATAGGCCTAAATATAACTTAAGAAAAACAAGGTCCTGGTGTATGGAAGATGAATAACTCGATGTTAAAAGACACATCCTTCCAAGAAAATGTTAGAGAATTAATAGAAAACGCTAAAATGGAACAAAAGGTAATAATATGGGTTGGAGATTAACATGGGACTTACTTAAAACACAAATCAAAGAGTTCGCTAGTGTATATGGAAAAAATAAAAAATGGGAATTAATTATACGAAAAATATTTTCAGAAAAGGAAATCGTACAAGTAGAAAAATTACTTATAGGCCATGGTATCATTTTGTTCCTACGGGCATATAGAACAAAAAAAATGATGTTAACAAGAAAAATATAGGGATGCATTTTATAGTATGTACTCGCGTCATTTGTAATGGTCGTTAGTGTTTTATGGTCAATACTTTTTTGGGGGGTGGGGAGGGTAACATTTATGCCCATAACCTGTGATTTAAAAATCCCATCAATATTAGTTTGGTCGCAATGTGTAGCATATATGTTTCTTAATCATATGCTGTTTAAATAAAATTAATCCGACAATCAATAACGTCACTAGAAGTCAAAAGGTCACCGACCTTTTTATAAAATGCAAATTTTTGCATAAAATATCAAGAAACATCAGTGTCATATGTCAAATTTTGGATGTATTGGATGTATTTGATACAAATTGTGTTTTTCGTGTAGTTATTGACATATGAAATACAAAAATTGAGGTTAACAAAAAAAAAATTAAAATGTATTATGTACTATTGTCATTGTTTATGATCCGAGAAATTTGTAATCAACAACAGTTTTTAAGGTAGGGGGACATTTATGCTCATAACTCTTGATTTAATCAATGGATTTGTATGATGTTGGTATCAACATTTAACCTATAGATTGGTCAGTCATTCAAATTGGAAAAGGTTTGAGACTGGCAAAAATTGACTAACTAGAGGTCAAAATGTCATTGACCCCACAGAAAAGGTGTAAATTTATTTCCAATTCACTCACAAACGTTTACAAAACTACAGTTGTGAGTAGATTTGATACAAATTAGTATTTTCAATTAGAAATAAGCATATGGAATACAAAGAATGATATTAACAAGAAAATGTATAAATTGAATGAATGTACTACCGTCATTGTGTTATAATCTTAGAATTTGTAATCAACAACAGTTTTTGGGGTAGGGGTAATATTAAATGCTCATAACTCTTGATTTACTTAATGGATTTGTATGATGTTCGTATCAACATTTAACCCATAAATTGGTCAGTCATTCAAGTTTAAAAAGTTTAGAAACAGGCAAAAATTGAGGCAACTAAAGGTCAAAAGGTCATTGACCTCCAAAGAAAAGTTCTAAATTCACTCACAAACGTTTACAAATCTAGAGTTGTGAGTAGATTTGATATAAATTAGTATTTTCTATTATTAATAAGCATATGGAATATAAAAGAATGATATTAACAAGAAAAATGTATAAATTGATTAAATGTACTACTGTCATTGTTGATTACTTGTGTAATCAATGGCGATGTTTGAGGTAGGGGTTAACATTTAGGTTTATAACTCATGATTTATTGGATAGATTTGCATGATGTTGGTATTAACATGTAGCCTGTAGATTTTCCAACCATTCAATTTTAAAACGTGTGCAGAAATTGACGTATCTAAAGGTCAAAAAGTCGTTAACCTCTGTAGAAAATGCAAATTTTTCCCAAAAAACCATGGCAGATATTCTTTATGACAATATAATGGAAATATATAGTGGTGAAAGTTATGTTAAAGGTTTCCCACACGAATAAAATAAACGAGCGGTACTGGATAAAGACAACTTGGTTTCTTGCTTCAAACAAGGTATTCATTCATAGAAGTCTTATGAAGATGAGCCTATCCAAGTGATGAACCTAAAAGAGTCGGGAACCAGGACATTCGACTTTAGATTGACGAAGATTGAAATATGTTAAATACAGACACGATATATACATAGGCCCAGGTCTAGAATCCAGTTAGAATATGCCTAATTATATATCAAAATGGTA